TTCTGGGCTCATGGCTTCAGCCTGGCCAGCCCTGGCTATTGTGATGATTTGGAGACTGAAGCAGCGGGTAGAGGATACCTCTTTCTGTCTCTGTCTCTCTCTGTTGCTCTGCCTTTCAAATAAATAAAGAAAAAATAAATCATTTTAAAAATGCCTGTTTCCGGCTGGCGCCGTGGCTTACGAGGCTAATCCTCTGCCTTTCGGTGCCGGCACACTGGGTTCTAGTCCCGGTCGGGGCGCCGGATTCTGTCCGGGTTGCCCCTCTTCCAGGCCAGCTCTCTGCTGTGGCCCGGGAGTGCAGTGGAGGATGGCCCAGGTGCTTGGGCCCTGTACCCCATGGGAGACCAGGAGAAGCACCTGGCTCCTGCCATCGGATCAGCGCGGTACGCCGGCCGCGGCGGCCATTGGAGGGTAAACCAACGGCAAAAAGGAAGACCTTTCTCTCTGTCTCTCTCTCACTGTCCACTCTGCCTGTCAAAAAAAAAAAAAAAAAAAAAAAAAGCCTGTTTCTCCTGTGCCGAGTGCTCCCTACCTCTTGTTGGCCTGCGCTGAGGGGCCAGGTGCTATGTTGCGGGCTGCTCCAGAGGGCTCTGACCAACAGCCGGAGGAGCAGAGGCCCTCACTCCGGCAGCCCTTGAGGAAGAGAATTCTGCCAATCACCACGTGAGAGAGCTTGGAAGTGGCTCCTCCTGCAGTCAAGCCATCAGCTGGCTGACACCTGGACAGCAACCTCATGAGACACCTTGAGTCTGAGGTACCCAGCTAAGGCAACACAGCTGCTGATGACTCTGTTTTTACCACAGTGGACAGACTTGGGCGTTTGGGCAAATCACACCGTCTTTCCCTGGTTAACGTGTAGAAGTCATTTCTGGCCCATGCTTTCTTTGCCAGTCAGCTGTAGGAACCACACTAATGGGGTCAGCCTCAAATTGTTGGCAAGCTCACGAAGTGCTCAGACATTTCTGTCATCTTATTGGAATTCTGATGAAAGATAATGAGGTAGCTGCAGTTTTCTGCATTTTCATAGTTGGAGAAACAGGCGAGGAGAGCTGAGGACTGTGCCCAGGGTGATGGGATTGGGAAGCACTGGCGCTCAGATGCCAAGCACTGCGTCCCTTCCATCCGCCCACTTGGCTGCCTCAGGAGGCATCATTCAGGTGGGGAATTTTCTGAAAAAGATCTGTTGGAAGCCAAGGACAGGTTATTTCAGTGTGGAGGAGAATATGAGGCAGGAAGGGTAATGGATTGCTATATGAGTTATTTATTCATTCACTTATTCTAGAAATATTGGCTTTTATGTGCTAGCCAGTCTGTGGAGGGATAGAAATTTCTGAACAAATATAGCCAACACCCCTACTTTTGGGTATATATGCCAAGGAGCTGCCATCAGTATATGGAAAAGATAGCTGCACTCCCATGTTCATGCCAGCATTATTCTCAGTAACCAAGATACAGAAGCAACCTCTGTGTCTACCACTGGATGGAGAAAGTGTGGTTTATACAGTATACATGATGGAATGCTATGCAAAGTTAAAAAGAGGGAGACTCATTTGTGACAACAGATAGAACTGGAAGGTGTTAATGAAGTCTGCATGATCTCACTCATCTGTGGAATCTAAAAAACAGTCAAACTCATAGAAACAGAGCAGAGAGGTGGTTATCAAGGGGGAGGAAGGGATGGAGAAAGTGCCAAGGTCAGTTAGACTGGAGAAGTTCTAGCGATCTCTTGCACTGTTTGGTGACTGTGATTAGTAATAGTGCACTTGTATTATTTATTTTGAAATTCCCAAAATAGGTTTTTAATGTTCTTACCACATAAAGAAATAGATGGGATGATTATGTGTTAATTAGCTCAACTGAATTTTTCTGTAATGTATACATAGGTAAGAGCATCACATTGTATACCCTGTAAATACACACAAGTATTATTTGTCAATGAAAAATAAAGTCTAATCACAGAGTTGCAATGTCTTCCATTCAGTCATTCTAAGAACATGTGGCGTGGGATCCACTATGGGGCATCAGTGTTCTCTCACTGGAGATGTGAATTTGAGAAGATCTCCCAGACCAGCAGAGGGTGTGGATGCACAAACAGAAAATCGTGACTTCCTGGAAAGCGTAGGGACATTGTTGTGCATGGGCTGTCACGGGGGCAGGGGACAGAAGGAAGAATGGTACAGAGGAGGCTTCTGGGGAGAGGTGACGTCCACGCTGGAGGTTTGGGGAAGGGAAACGGGGAGGGCTCAGAATGGGTACCAGAGTGTGTGTGAGGGGAGGCGCTCAAGCAGCTCAGTATTTCTGGAGGATAAACAGCAAGGCAAATAAGACCTTATGAAAAAGGGCTGGTGGATCACTCCTTCCAAGCAGACACAACAAAAATGAGACATCCGCCCTTCCGAGGAGACGGAGACGGCCGAGACCTGCAATGAAAGAGCTTGTCCTGGACAACTGTTGGCTGAGTGAAGGCAGGACCGAAGCCTCACTGTTGGCTGAGTGAAGGCAGGACCAAAGCCTCACAGATGAATCTGGAATTCTAGAGTACAATCATCCTGGCAGCCACAGACTTACCAAAGTTGAACAGACTCACAGAACTTGAGCTAAGTGACAACAGAATCCCGGGGACCTGGAAGTATTGATGGAAAAAGTCTCAGAACCGTACACCTTTAACCTAAGTGGCAATGAAGGGAAACACCACAGCCCCGACAGCACCACTCAGACCCTCAGGAGCTGATGCTTCTAGGCTATAAGGTGATGTACCTGCATGTTCTAGCACATGTAATCCACCCCCACCCCCAGCTCATGGACAAGGAGACATCTGACTCAGACGCCAAGGGCTGTGTGGAGGGTCTGGATGACCAGGAGGAGGAGAAGGAGGGTGAAGAGGAGGATGAAGGTGATAATGACAGAGTGGAGGAAGAGGAAGATGTTGGTGAGGAAGAAAGGCGTCAGAAGTGGAAAGGAGAACCTGATGACGAGAGAGAGAAGGTGATGAAGTAAGTGGAATCATGATTTTGAACAATTCCTGTCGTGATTGGACTGTCTTTACCCATATCACCTCTCACCTCCCCCAGTCCTGCCCCCTGAAACCTCTGTTTTCCTGATTGTAACATTGCTGTGGGAACAAGAGGGGAAAGGTATCCTGGGAGTGGAATAAAAGACTATTTTTACTGCCAAAAAAAAAAAAAAAAAAAAAGAGGGGCTGGTGTGGTGGGATTGTTGCCACCTGCATATGTGATTTGTGATGATAAAAGCAAGTGATAATCACACATGTAATCCAAGTTAATCCCGACCCCAATCCTGCAGTGGATCTCCTACCAGAACCCATGATGCTCACTTCTTCCTGGGCACACAGTCCCTGGCCCAGGTGGGCAGGGCCATGCAGGGAATCGCGTTCTCTGCGCGATGAGAGCAGAGTGACTGCAGATGATCTCCCTGGGCCTTTTTTGCTTGGCAGCGCAGCCTCAACCAATCCAGATGCCAAGGACCTGGAGGCTGGTGGAAGTACAAGAGGAAAGGACCCAGGTCCTTGAACAAGCTCAGGGAGCAGACACCTAGTATGCTTACTCCAGATGGAGTCATTGGTGAGTCTCTGCCAAAGCTACCTAGCTCTACAGCAATCTGAATCCTAAAAGGATGACTATTATCCCCACTGCGCAGATGAGGAAATTGAAGGAAAAGCTAAAGAACTGCCTTGTTATCATGCTGATAATCAGTAAACCAGCTGGGCACTGAACTCCAGTTCATATCAGTTTATGCCTCTTGTACCATCTTTCCCTTTGCCCATGGGTGACAGAGAACTACTTGAATATTTTAAAGATTTATTTATTTATTTGAAAAGCAGAGTGACAGGGCCAGAGCTGTGGCATTGCCGGTAAAGCTACCACCTACAGTGCCAGCATCCCATATGGGCGCTAGTTCGAGTCCCAGCTGCTCCACTTCCAATCCAGCTCTCTGCTGTGGCCTAGGAAAGCAGTAGAGGATGGCCCAAGTGCTCAGGCCCCTGAACCCATGTGGGAGACCTGAAAGAAGCTCCTGGCTCCAGGCTTCAGATCAGAGTAGCTCTGGCCATTATGGCTACTTGGAGAGTGAACCAGCAGATGGAAGAGCTCTCTCTCTGCCTCTGCCTCTCTGTAACTCTGCCTTTCAAATAAACCTTAAAAAGAGAAAAGAAAAAAAAGGAGAAAGGAAAGGAGAGGGAAGGGGAGGGGAGGGGAGGAGAAAGGAGGGGAGAAAGGAGAGGAGAGGAGGAAGGAGAGGGAAGGGGAGGGGAGGGGAGGGGAGGGGACAGAGGAGCTGGTTCATGACCCAAATGACTGCAACAGCTGGGTGTTGGCCAGGCCAAAGCCAGGGTCCTGGAGCTCCAACCAGGTCTCCTACATGGGTGGCAGAGGAGCCCAAGGACTTGAGCCATCTTCCCTGGCTTTCCCAGGCATATTGGATTGGCAGGAAGCTCAACCAGATGGAGAGCAGCCGAATTCAAACTGGCTTTCTCATATGGGATTGCTGCTGTTGCAAGCGACAGCTTAATCTCTGGCCCACAGTGCCAGTCCCTACTCCAATGAGTGAGGACGTTACATTTGCATATTACTCAGGAACTCTGGATACAGTGAAGAAGAGTGTCAAAATTAGAGGTAGGGAGACAAATTAGGTGGTCTCTCCTGTGACAAATAAGAGCCTGAACTAGGGCTGTGGTCATAAGGGTAAAGAAGGGGTCACACTAAAGAGAAAGTGAGAAGGACCCATCAGTAGGACCTGAGGGGTGAACAGATGTGGTAGAGAGAGACGCCAGTCAAGAGGAACCCCAGATCTCTAGATGATGCCACATGGGGAGCTCACAAGCAGGCTGCTGCATTAGTTTACGGATAGAGGAGAGGAATACATTTTGGACTTCTCATTTAGGGTACATAAGGGATATCTAGACCTAAAATCCTGTATCTCGGGAGGGGTAGATGAAAACTGATGAGTGACCCTTGGTCTTTTTGCCATTTTGCAATACACAGGGGTGCAGACCAAGTCCAAATTCATTCAAAATCTCTCCTGGAGGCATCCCCCACAAACAGGGGAGAATGGGAGAAGAATTTTGGATAAACAAATATGCTAATAAAAAATAAACACCAGTGTGGGGAGCAACTCGGACTATACTGTTACTGGAATTAAGACTTATTCTATGCATCTGCTCTCCCACAATATGGCGCTGGGAGAGGAGAAAATAGCTTCTACGCAGCTGCCTCCAGTTCAACCAATAAACTGTAGGACCTACTCCTGATTGGAGGAGAGCAGCGTACTCGGCATGTGGGCAGCCGAGTTAGGATTGGCGGAGGAGGACTATAAAGGAGGAGAGAGACGGCATGCACCAGGAACATCTATGGGGAACATCTAGCTGAAGGAACACCTGTGCAGCCCCCGAGAAGAGCCGGCCGGCGGTGTGCCGCTCCCCTGCGGAAGTGGGGAATGCGGCCAGGGGGAACTGCCCTTCCACGGAGGTGGAAGGGATGGTGGCCAGCCCGGGAAGAACCAGCAGCAAACCCGGGGAGGGCCGAGCAGACAGAAAGAACAGCGCAGGGTCCTGTGTCGTTCCTCCACGAAGACGGGGAGCGACATAGTGGTGCCGTGACTCGGATAGGAAACCTAGGACGGATAGGAAACCTAACTCGGATAGGAAACCTAGGACGGATAGGAAGCCGTGACTCGGATTAGGAAACCTAGCTCGGATAGGAAACCTAGGACGGATAGGAAACTTAGGAGGGAAGACTAGCGAAGAGCCTAGGGGAAAGCCGGACGAGAAAGGTGCCGGAAGAAGCTATTGAAAGCCTAGGCATAGACTTGGATATGGACTGTGGGAAAGAAGTTAGGATTTGAAAGCGAAAGTGAAAGCTTTCACAGACTCGGATGCGGACTATGGCGGGGAAGCTAGGAGATTGAAAGCGAAAGTGAAACCTGGAGGAGGCTTGGACTCGGATACGGACTGTGGGAAAGAAGTTAGGATTTAAAGTGAAAGCAAGAAGAAACTTAGACTCAGATACGGACTGCAGGTTGAAAGTGAAAGTGAAACCTATAAGAAACTTAGACTTGGATACGGACTGTGGGGAGAGGCCAGGAGAAATGAGGGAGGAATATTGTTGGAAGAAAACTTAGGGAAACACACCGGGTAGAGAAAAATGTTAGGGAGGATGAAGCCGCGAGTGCAGGCCAAGCCATCTTGGAATTCTTCAAGTCACCCTGGGGAGCAAGAGGCGAAGATCTGGAACCAGAGGCAGAGACGTGGGCCGCCAGGATTCGCCAGGTTAGTCCGGGGAACTTGGACTGAATGCCGGTGGTGGCGGAAACATTCGCGGAAGCCGCCGCGTGCAGAGAGAGCACGGGGCATTGGCGCGAGGCCGTGGTGCGGGCGCGAAGTGCGTGGAGACCGCGGAGCGTGCGCGCAGAGCCGGGAACCCGCCGGCGGGGCGAGGCGCCAGGAAGCCGCGCAGAGCTGTGAAGCCGCCGCGGGGCGGGCGCCGGCGGGGCGAGGCGCCGGGAAGCCGCGCAGAGCCGTGAAGCTGCCGCGGGGCGAGGTGCCGAGAAGCAGCCTCGGGGCGGGCACCGCCGGGAAGCCGCAGGGATAAGAGAAACAGAAGTTTAGAAGTAAAGTGAGAGAAATAGGAATGCTGGAAGATGGAAGTAGAATGGGAGAAATAGGAATGCCCGGACATAGAGAAATAGAGAAATAGAAAGGCCTCCCCACAACATGGCAATTAGAAAGCTTGGATTCGGTCTGCCCGATAAGTGAGGCGATGAGCACCTGCGGCGGCTAGCAGCTTATGCGCCGCAGGTCACCGAAGACAGGCACGAATTAACATCAGTAAGGCCTCCCCACAATACAATTAGGAGGCTTGGATTCGGTCTGCCTGATTAAGGCGGTAAGCACCAGCAAGCAGCTCGACCAGAGTATGAGCTGCAGGTCACCGAAGATAGGCACGAATCAACACCAATAAGCCTCCCCACAATATGGCAATGAGAAGGCTTGGATTCGGTTTGCCTGATTGTTAGGGCTTGTAAGCCCCTGCAGGCAGAGCAGAGCATGCGCTGCGGGGCACCGAACACAGGCACGCATCAGCGCCTAAAAACCTCCTCACAACATGGCGAAGAGAGGACCTGGATTCGGTTTGCCTGATTGATAGGACTTGTAAGAACCTGTGGCAACTCTAGCAAGCAGAGCAGAGTGTGTGCCACGGGACACCGAAGACAGGCGCGTATCAACGCCAAAAAATAAAAAGAAAGGGGGATCTGTGGGGAGCAACTCGGACTATACTGTTACTGGAATTAAGACTTATTCTATGCATCTGCTCTCCCACAATATGGCGCTGGGAGAGGAGAAAATAGCTTCTACGCAGCTGCCTCCAGTTCAACCAATAAACTGTAGGACCTACTCCTGATTGGAGGAGAGCAGCGTACTCGGCATGTGGGCAGCCGAGTTAGGATTGGCGGAGGAGGACTATAAAGGAGGAGAGAGACGGCATGCACCAGGAACATCTATGGGGAACATCTAGCTGAAGGAACACCTGTGCAGCCCCCGAGAAGAGCCGGCCGGCGGTGTGCCGCTCCCCTGCGGAAGTGGGGAATGCGGCCAGGGGGAACTGCCCTTCCACGGAGGTGGAAGGGATGGTGGCCAGCCCGGGAAGAACCAGCAGCAAACCCGGGGAGGGCCGAGCAGACAGAAAGAACAGCGCAGGGTCCTGTGTCGTTCCTCCACGAAGACGGGGAGCGACACACCAGGGGCCGGCCCCGTGGCTCACTTGGTTAATCCTCTGCCTGTGGCGCCGGCATCCCATATGGGCATAGGGTTCTAGTCCCAGCTGCTCCTCTTCTGGTCCAGCTCTCTGCTGTGGCCCGGGAGGGCAGTGGAGGATGGCCCAAGTGCTCGGGCCCCTGCACCTCCATGGGAGACCAGGAAGAAGCACCTGGCTCCTGGCTTCGGATCAGCGCAGCGCCGGCCATAGCGACCATTTGGGGAGTGAACCAATGGAAGGAAGACCTTTCTCTCTCTCTGTCTCTCTCTCTCTGTCTATAACTCTATCTGTCAAATAAAATAAGCACCAGTCGAGGTGGAATAGAAGACTCAGCAAGCATATCAAATCAGTCGAATGTCCAATTCAGTGTCCCAGCTTCACACACGGGGAAAGCAGGCTGTGGGGATTCAAAGGAGTTCAGTGAGTGGTTGTACCATGACTGAGAATTCACAGCATGTGGCTCTAAAGTGACTTCCTTACCACTCTGCTGTGCTGTGTACCCACCTGGAGGACTTTTGCTTTTGGTCTTGGAGTAACTAAAACTTCATTGACACTCAAAGAATGAGTGAAGGCAAAGTTTCTGGTCTTCCCAGATGTGATCAGAAATTCCTACACATGTCAGTGAATTCCAGTTCCATTGTTTGCAAGGGGTCCTAACTCACACACACAGCAGGACACAGCAGGGCCTAGCTAGCGTCACCCATCCAAGCCAAGCTAATAGCAGAGCCGTATTTTCCTAGTCACGGTAGGGACACTTGACAGTCCTCTGGGTCTTTGTGTCTACAGGGGCCTCCCTAGGACCCCAGCCTGGAAACGTGGCAGAAAGGGGTTGATAGATGGTCTTGTATGCTGAGAGCTCTTGGCTGCCAGTCGCGTCTTTGGCATGGGAATCCCTGTGATCATTTCAGCACCATGGCCAGGGGCACTGCCGCAGACTTCCAGAAACTGCTGGATCCAGTCAGCCAGGCGGGCCCAGCTCAGTCGGCTTTGGCCCACGGATCCCAGAAGCAGAGGCAGAAGACAGGAGCCTGGAGTTCCACCAGGGTCCTACGGGCCGGGCTGGGGGGTGGGGGGAGCTCTTGGCTTCACAAGATCC